TTTGTTTCTCTCGTGTTTACGCCCAGTATGATTAAACTTGTGCATTCAAACTGTGTCGCCTGTAGCGCTTACTAGACCTACAGACGCATTAAAAACTGACATCAATTTGTTTTTTACGATAACAAATTGTTAAATTGTCCGCTCTCGCTCCCTGACGCATCGAATAAATTATAAATTCACGTGTCTGTCCGCTTATTGACAATAAAAATTAGCCAATGAGCACGCGAGAATTTCTGCAGTTATCGTAAAAAAAACTCGATAGTTGCACGCTGCCCGCTTACCATTTCTTAATTCGTGGTTTGAATATTGTTCAGTTTAATTGTCACGTGATATTCTGACAGGAACGATATTAATTTGATGTCAAGGATCAGTGTGCTTTAACCGTGAATCAGCCATCTACTCGAACTTATAGTTGATAGCTCCTCGAAATGRTTCAGTTTACTTGATCATTGTAACAGTTCAGATTTCTTTGCCGTGGGATCATGTCAGACATCGGTTGCCGGGTGTGACTCATCAATCCATCATGTCAATCGGTTTGATCCGAACATATTGTTCTCTCGCGTACATGAATTTCCACTGGCGATGTTAAGAAAACTCCCCGAGGCTGATGCAGGCTTGATGTGTCAGCGTGCATCATCGATTTATTGTGTACTTGGGAAGCTTGGAGAGCACCATCAGCAGGAAGCTAAAGTTGCTCTCGCCTGTGCGTTGAGAAACTCGTGCTCTTCAAACTTCCTTCCTGTATTATAACTTGATCGCTGATACACAGTTAAAAACAGGAATCAATTTTTAACTTGTTAGTATTAAGGCATGGTATTTACTCATAAGTTGGGAATAGACGCTTTTTCCCAAGATTGAATTGGCAATTTCAATTTTTTGAGCATGTTTCTCGAATAAATTTCACACACTGTAGGTAAACAGCCGCGGGCGTGCGTGAGATGTCTCTTTTTGGAAATTTATCGGCGTGATTCATGAGTAAGCTAAATTAAGCTGGTAGACCCTAGACAAACTACATCAATGACGACTGAATAGTCAGTTTCTGCTCTGTTTCATTCCATACTTTACAGTTTGGCAAGAAACCTTTGAGTCTTCCTCTGATCTAGTCCACATGCACTGGTGTTTCAAATTTGCACTATTGTCAAACTCCACTCTTTTTTAGCCAATCAGAATTCAGCTAATTATTTGCTGGTTTTACAACAATCGATACTCACTCTCCCACGCAGTCTAAGAACCTCCCCGACCTGTTGAGTTACTAATGTAAAGCAATAAGAAAATATCTCTACTCGGAACCGTGCTGGGAGAGTATCGGCCGGCCGTCTTTTTTGTACAGACCTCGCTGCGCTCACTTCGCACTGCCAAGACCTCGGACCGATAGTCTCCCAGCACAGTCCTCGCACTTGGTTAATAAGTAGATATATGTCGATTGTAGCTTGCCTTAAAACAGCATAACACAGTTTTATGTTACGCAGATCACACCCGGAATTACAAGTACAAAACGTTACAGTTCCAGCTGAGAGCATCAAAGAGCATAGCAATGAGAGAAAAAATTGTTAATCCCTAGGTCATAGTTTGCACAGTTTGGTCCATTGTAGCTCATTGTAACGGACAAAATGTCACATTTGTTTTCAGAAATGAAATCAGCATCATCCATAAGAAGAATATAATTCTTTCAGCTTTAGCTGACTTGGAATACGCATCCGCTGCTATGGCGACTCTGGTGTCTGTCATGTCTCTTGTGTTAACTGACCAGCCCATCACACCTGTTAATAGGGAGCTTAAGCAAACCCCGACGACGACAGCAACGAGAACGCCACCAAACAAAAGGTTTAATGAACTGAACAATAGCTGTGCACGTGCGTTTTAAATCTTTGTATATTTCTTTGCCGTCCTCTGCAAAACAACAACGTGAAATGACCAAGTTCTGCATCGTCTACGGAACGTGGACGACGACGGCTAATTTTTGGTGTTTCCATTTGGAATTGAACGTCGTCGTTGCATATTTAACTTAAGCATATTTTTAGAGCCATTGGCGTACCGAACAGATCTAGACAATCGCGAATTTCGCTGGTAAAATATAAATTCATTTTTTACTAGGCGTCGTCCTTGGCGCCGTCGTGGTGGTTGCTTAAGCTCCCTATTGCCTTTATGCTGCTCGCTTTCATCAATGTTCTACGACTGAGAGTATCTTTTCGCTTAGCCTACGGTTTGGTGGCGGCATACGAAGCGTATGTGTCCCTCAAGAGGATAGAGCACCTCCTTCTTTTAAAGAACTTGCAATCTGTATCATACAATCGTTCTTCAAACTGCACAAACTGACTCGTGGAGAAGCTCGGAAAAGATAGGAAGTGGTCGGATAAATAATCAAGAGGAAACTCCACGAGTTCCACGTGTCTTATTGTCTTGGTGGACTAAAGGGCAAACCGGCAGTCTGTCTGCGTGTCAAATTTGACATACAAACCATTCGAGCGAGAAATGAAAGCTATTCTACAAGAGAAACTGAGGAACTCAACAGTTATCACTATAGCTCATCGTTTGAACACCATCAGACTGTGACAAGATCTTTGTTTTCAGGGAGGGGAAGGTAGTTGAGGTTGGTACTTTTGATGCGCTAATGAAAAGCGAGGGAAGTGAACTGAGTGGACTTGCTCGAGCTTCAGACGACGGAAATTAAAGCAACCTCTGCAAGAATCCAGAATTTGACTCTAGCCACATGCTTTCAGTCTTTTGGGGAATAGTATTGCCTAACACGTAACGATGTATATGTGAAATAAGCCATACACGCGAACTATTCCAGGCCTTCATTGCAACAAAAAGTATATTAAGATTTAAGCCCGGTCCTCACTAGCGACGCAAGCATAAGCGTAAGCATAGGCACAGACACAGGCACAGGTAGTCGTCTGAACTTTTATAGCAAGTAAAAGTTTAAAACTTTCTTTTACTTTAAATTGTGCATTAAAAATTGCTAACAACTTAACAACGATTTCAAATGACTCGTTTTGCCTTCGACTTGCGCCAGAAATTTGAAGCCGTTCCACATGAATAGAAGTCGTTCCCGAACTCGTCAGACACACAGTAGAGATATAGTAAATATTTTGCAAGGCTCGTCTTCTCGGTCCGTCATGTAAGTTAGGGATCCTCGCTTTTCCCCTCCGACAATTTGACTCGCTTTTCCCCTCCGACAAGAGGATCCTTAACTTACAGAACGGGCCGACAAAGTAAATGCACGGACTTTTCCGTCGACTGGACTTTAGATACTAAACCAAGGGAATCCAATATAAATCACTAAATCTGATT